CCTATTAAACATAACAGATTAAACGTACACATTCACTTTTACTTCCTCAAGTCACGTCTATAATACCAAAGTAAAATGCTGGAACAGTCAAGGCAAATGGGATAGGCTTAAGAAGAAAGGGTTGGCCAATGAGAGGTGGACACAGAAAGACTTCAGTAGGAAAAAAAAAAAAAAGGTGAATTCTAAGGCTGGGCAGGAGACAAAGGCAGCAGAACTGATGATCTTTGTCTTGCAGCTCCCTGAAGGGAGGTTCAGGAATTGGAGACACAGGTTGGGAAGACGACTCAGGGGGTAGAGCACGGAAGAGACTTGAAGGGCTAAATTGGAAACCCTCCCCAACACATATAAAGCCAGATGCGGTGGCTGTAAAATCAATACTCCTGCAGAAGGTGGGAGGCAGAGGAATGAGAGTCCCGGAAAGATCAAGGGCCAGTGAGAGTGGGTCCAAGCTGTTGGAGGATGGTTTTGTGCCCTCTGTATTTAGATTCTGATTTCTAGGCCCAGACATCTGGTTGCAGCCAGACCTGGACGATGGTGTGGTCAACCATCTCCGGTCTTGATGTTATGAAGATTGTTTTCTATCACCTCTGATTGGTTAATAAAAGAGCTGATCAGCCAACTAGCTGGGCAGAAGAGAAGAGAATAGGGCGGGATTATTGATCCCGGTCGTGATGAGGGATTCCCAAAGGCGATCAGAGGGTACAGAAGGACCACAAGGAGAAGAAAGTATGGAGGGGCCACGAGGAGTTGTCACAAAAACGTTGCCAAGGACGTCTCCATGAAAACACACACAGACCAGAGGGAGCCAGGGAAGACTCAGATTGAAGGGAAAAGACTTTGTGGCTGGGAAGTAGGCAGCCTTGGAGGGTTAGAATAGGTTAGACCTACACAGCTTAGGCTTTGCTGCTTGATGATAAAAATATGGTCTGTGTCTTTATCCTGGAGCTAAAATGGGCTAGAGCAGGTCTTGAAGTTATTTGATGGAACAAGGGGGTTGTAGAAAAATCCCCACAAGAAATACTTTTACACCAAGTGGTAACTACTGAAGAGATCCTGTTTGAAACAAGGTGTAAGGTATGTACTGATACCCGAGGGTCTTCTCTGACTTCCACATGTGAGCTACACAAATGCCCACACTCACACACACGAATGCATGTGTGAGCATGCACACGTACATCGCACACACAGAGATAAAATTGGAAGCAACAGTATAAACCTCTTTGTGGAACCCGGGTCAGTTGAGAATCAAATGCTGCATGCCTTTAATCCTAGCACTCAGGAGGCAGATCTCTGAGTTCAAGGCCAGCTTCATCTACCAAGTGAGTTCCAGGACAGCCAAGGGCTCACAGAGAAACTCTGTCTCAAAAACAAATACCGAATAATAACAACAACAAACAAAAACCAAAAAAAGAAAAAAAGAAAAGAAAAAGAAAAACCAAGAGACTTCTGAAGGGGTTGTAGCAAGGAGGTTGTCTTAACAGACCCTGTGAGACTGCTGGAAATTCAGAAGTTGAATCATGAGTGCTCTGACTCCAGTATTGCAGCCACACTGAGACCCAGGAGTCACGTCTCCCAGGAAAAGCAAAACAAAGCCAATAAATTAGCCCACATTCAGGTCTGGAGAGATGGCTCAGTGGTTAAGAGAACTGACTGCTCTTGCAGAGGTCCTGAGTTCAATTCCCAGCAACCACATGGTGGCTCACCACCATCTGTCATGGGACCCGATGCCCTCTTCTGGTATGTCTGAAGACAGCTACAGTGTACTCATATACATAAAATAAATAAATCTTAAAAAAATTAGTCATCTAGTCATAGAAAAGAGGAAAATTTGGGTGTCAACTTATAAGCAGCATATATAAAAATACACCAGTAATTAAAAAAGAAAATGGAAGTGAGCTTTCACTGCAAAGGAATACTTTTTATAACAAGGAAATGACATTGTAAAAACGAAAGAAGTGAAATCATAGGACACCACACAGCCCAGGGTCACAGCATGTTGTCATAACCTTCTAAACATGGGTATTCAGTAAGAATCATGGTCTAAGTACAGTTGGGAGTCTAAGAGTAAGAAAAATGTATTCATGGATAGCCTGAGAGAACTCACTTCCCTCAAAAAAAAAAAAAAAAAAAAAAGCAAACCAAAAAGTAGAAGACAAGGTAAGCATACGTAAACAATGAGCACAAAAGCTTATACTTATACTGTCAGACACAATGAAGAGTTTATTGTCATTTCAGTATGTGTGGTCGGGAAGGTAAGGGGAATTGGTGTCACTTGTTAGAATCCTTGTAGAACTAAAGTATTCAGCTTTCACACTTCCCTTGTCTATTATTTTCATTTGGGGACAGACTATATGCTCTAGAGATATTTGCACTAAAGTAAAAAAAAATTTTTTTTTCCCAATATACTGTTCATTATTTCAACTCATACAAATAGGCTAGTTCACAATACTGGTCTACTGTCAGGAAAATATAAGTTCACAAAAGCTGGTCTACTGTCAGGAAAATATAAGCAAGGGTTAGCATGTATATATTGTTTTTTTTTACTTTGACACTTTCAAATAAGATTTCGCTTCTTTTGTGAGCATTATCATATTCTCCTCTCTTACTAAATACAAGTGGTTCATGAAAATGAGTTATGTTAGGGCCAACTCAGAGGCTTTCACTGTTGACTAGGAGCGTTTGGCGATGCCACAGAGGGGGTGGTGGATGCTTCTGGCATCTGGAAGGCCGAAGTCCAAGCCGATGCTAAGCCTTCTACAGTGAATGAAGCAAACTACAGAACAAAGATCCACCCAGCCCCAAATGTCAATAGTGTGGAGGCTGAGGAACCGAGCTCCCGAGCTCCTGGCTTTGAGGATTATTTCACCAGCAGTCTATACATAAAGATGATATGCAAAGATCTTGCCGTTGAGGCTTGACTCAGCTAAATGCTCTGCTCTAATGTTGGAAGCAGCTCGATTGTGCAACGCATCTTTGGGAATACTGAGAATGCTAAAGTCAAGACAAAGTGTATAATAAGCGATAACAATAAGAAAATGGAGGGCTTTGTACCTTTAATAATCTCTTTCATCCACTATTCCCTGGGCACTTTATAGACTACTAACTGCTCTGGTTCCCACATGTTACCTTTTATCTAAGGACCTGAGGCACTTTCACAATGCTCTTACGACGGAGGAACTATCATTATCCCATTTTATACGCAGGTAAACAGAGGCCCAGAAGTTAAGCAACTTACCCAAAGCCAAGCAAGCCAGCCCTCCTGACTCAGAGACGATCAAGAGATAAATTTGTACTTATAGGTGTTACCCTTGTTCATTCATGGTATATTGTTTTCAAGTTAATATATATTCCTTACCTTGTCTTTTCCTCCTTTCTTTTACTTCCTATCTTCCCAGACAGAAACCTATGATTGTTTGAAATCTTATTATCAGAAGTAGTCCTTTGAATCAAGCACACCACAACCAGAGTCAACTCTTAAAACAGCTTTAAACTATGTGGTACTATATTTCATAGTAAGAAAGCTACTGAATTCGGAGAATTTAAACATACACTAAAGATCGGTAGTTTACATATGCGTATCCATGGCGAGCCTGTCCTCTTTCCAGAGCCGTGTACAATCCTTCCAAGCGAGCATCCTCAGGTAAGTAACGCACGAGTGTGAACATTTATAGTCAGGCTCCATCTTGCCTCAGAAAACAAAGCAAGGCCGAGAAACCTACACAGCTTACCTAAGTTGGTACCAGCTAGGCTTGCAGTCAGCCTGTTTGTTTGTTTGTTTAAATTCTTCTCTCGGAAAGGCCTTTTACCACACAACTTTCTAAGCCTTCTCCAAGTTAACCGTATGTCCAGCCCGACAGGCAGACCAAAGACCAGAACTGCTTCTGAGAACAAGCCTGTGAGTCATTATTGCCTGTGCCCATTGCTGTAGCACGTTACCTGCTGCCCCCTTACCTACATTGTGTCACCCGTGGAAAACGACGATGACTTGTTAGGTCAGCCTGTGTGCCTCCGGACTCTTATTGTTTGGGAAATGAAGGCATGGTTTCATAACTCCTGAAAATGATGCATTCTGATATTGCACGGATGTGAGAGATAAATCCCCTCCGCCCTGATGGCAGGTGAGGATGGACTCATCCGTGAGCACAGTAAAGACGGAAAAACAGAGACTATCCAGCTTTACGACGCTGGTGGGGATATTTGCTGCTAAATCCGTCTATAAGCGGTGTAGAGACAGCGTGAACATGGGATAAATTGCCAACAAGAGCTTGAAAGAATAACAGACTCTTGATAACTCATCGATCATTTTAACCTCTCCTTTTTTGCTAACTCCCGTTTTTACCACGACACTCATTGCTTTTGAAGGGGCTTCCTGGGTTTCTCAGACTCCTGCGTGGCACCCCCTTGCATTTGGAAAGGAGGAGGGCGGCGAGGGGAAAGGGACTGCGTGGGTATTTCCCCACCCTGGCGAGCCAGGTCCTGAATCATCCCTAGCTGGTAGCATTTTTCCTCCGGCAAGTCACAACTTTCCCTAGAAATACTACGGTCTTGTACTTAAAAGGAAGAGTGGTGGGAGACCGGAGAGGCGGGGAAGAGGAGTGAGGAGAGAGGGGCGTGGATAGGCTGATCCCACCCTAGAATCCGAAGAGCTGGAAGGTCGCCCGCTGCGAGGTAGCGAGCCTGGGAAGGAGGTGTCCCCGCTGCAGGCGCCCCAGCCGCGCCCGGGGAGGGAGGAGGTAGGCCGGTGGGAGGGGCGGAGCGGTGGAAGGGGCGGGGCGCCGCGCACCTGAGCGCGGAGAGGGCGTGGCTTCGCGGGCACTCCCTCCTCCCCCTCTTGCTGGCCGCAGGGACTCGGCCCTTTCCGCCCCTCTTCGGCCCGGCTCGGCTCCCGCCCCCCCTCCGCCCCTCGCTCGCTCCCTCCCTCCAGCCAGGGACAGCCCCCGAGCTCCGGCCGGCGAGTTTGCCGCTGCTAGGTCGTGCGCGTCCCGGGCGCTCCGGCTCACCTGGACAACCCTCATCCCCGCCCCGCGCCTTGTCCCACCTAAAACTTCTCCGAGGTAAGGAGCTCTCCGGGCCGCCGGCTCCGGACTCGCGCCCCGGTCCCCTCTCCCCTGGACACGTCCCCTCCGGTTCCAGCCGGCTGGGGGCTCCCTGTCCCGTCTCGGAATGGAGGCGTCCGCGGCGCGGAGCTCAGGCCCGCGCGAGCGGAATGGGAATCGCGGGGAGCTGTGCACACAGGTGGCAGCGGCGCGAGTGTCCCCGGTGCGGGGTCGCGGATCTGGATGGGACGGGGAGGGCGGCGAGGGCGGCGAGGGTGGGGCCCGCCTCTCTCTTCCTCCTCCCCCCACCCCGCCCGGGGTCGGAGTTCTCGGGGTGCGCTGCGGAGGTGCGCCCTGCGAACTTGGAGGCTGGGACGCGCGGGCACGCCGAGGGCGCGGCGATCGCTGTCCGGCGGCCGCCCCGGGGACCTGACGCCGCGCCTCCCCCAACCCTCCGCCCGCCCCGTGTGCTTCCTTGCAGAGCGTCGGTCGGGCAGCGCGCTCGCCCCGCGCCATCCCCATCGCATTCACGCTCCCCGGGCAGGCGGCGGCGGCGGCGGCGGGAGTCCGGAGTCGCGGCGTGAGGGGCGTCCCCGCCGGCCCCTCTGGGAACATGGCGACCGGCGGCTACCGGAGCGGCGGCAGCACCACCACGGACTTCCTGGAGGAGTGGAAGGCGAAGCGCGAGAAGATGCGCGCCAAGCAGAACCCCGCGGGTCCGGGTTCGAGCGGCGGGGATCCAGCCGCTAAGTCCCCGGCGGGATCGCTGACCCCGACCGCCGCCGCTGCCGCCGGGACCTCGGAGCTCAACCACGGCTCCGCGGGCGCGACCGCACCTGCCGCCCCGGGGCCCGGCGCCCTGAACTGCGCTCACGGCTCGTCCGCGCTGCCCCGCGCGGCTCCCGGCTCGCGGCGGCCGGACGACGAGTGCCCTAGCGCTGCTGCGGCCGCGGGAGCACCCGGGTCCCGGGGCGACGAGGAGGAGCCGGATAGCGCCCCGGAGAAGGGCCGCAGCTCGGGGCCCAGCGCCAGGAAAGGCAAGGGGCAGATCGAGAAGAGGAAGCTGCGGGAGAAGCGCCGCTCCACCGGCGTGGTCAACATCCCGGCGGCGGAGGTGAGCCGGGCGGGGCGGGCCGGTGCGGGGCTCGGGGCCGCCTCCCGTGTCTTCCACCAGGGAGCTCCCTCGGTCCGGGGCCCGGAGTTCCCTTCCACTCTTTGCAGCAGAGGGATGGAGTTTACTTGGAGCAAACGATTGCTGGGAAGTTCCCCCGACCCAGATTAGTTGGACACGTGCTCTTTTTGCGTCCCTGGAACCGGGTTATTGCTTTAGAATGTTGGTGTTCCCCACGATTTGGCAGCCTAGACTTCTGTCTCTGTCTGTCCGTCCGTCCGTCCGTCCGTCCGTCCCTCCCTCCCTCCCTCCCTCCCCCCCCCCCCCCCCCCCCCCCCCC